CTTGATTCTTCGTCTTTGTCTCGGCTGGTGTTCTCCGTCAGAAATTACTTTTCTTTCAAATCCCTCTCAATAACTCACATTACGTGTGTTTGCTTTCAGTGGTTGCCCACCATTGAGGGTTTTCTTTAAAGACAAAGAGACTGGTCAGAAGAAAAATGAATCAGTAGAAGGAAAAAACTTTGAAGAAGAAAACATAATTGTATAAAAGTGGGAAAGGCAAATGACAGCTCTTTTAGTTATATGGCTGCTTCCAAAATTTACGCTTTTCTCTTTTATATATAATTTAAGTTTCATGCGATTCTTAGAACTTTGGAATAAATTTTCTTGTTCTGATTAATCTTAAATATAGATTACTATTTGGAAAAACAATAACTGACAACTTGTTTCCTCAAGTAAACAAGAACAGTGGAATTGACCATGGAGAACCTCAAAAAAGAGTAAGGGGAGAGGGGGATTTGCAAGGTGAAATGAAGATGTTTGATAGGGACACAAACAGAAGCACCATTTAGACACAGTGCTAGTGATTACTAAATCACAGAACTTTAGTGATGAAGGGGACCTCAGTTCATCTTTCATTTCTTTGTCCCCGTGTCTTGGACAATTATAGGTACATAAGGGGCCTCCAATGAAAATTTCTTCACAAGTATATTTTATCATTGTTGCACTTTTCAATCTCTTCACTCTAGCCACACAGTCCTTTCTTCACTTCCCCAAATGTTCAAGGTTCCTTCCTGCCTCAAGACCTTTGCAAGTGTTATACCTTGTTGAAACATTCACCATCAATAGCATTGACCTAGAACATGTTTGGTCTGCCAGAATGACCCATGGTATAGCTGGTTCTAAAGATGTGGGCTGTGACACACAGAATCCTATCAGAGGTACTCAAGTGGGCTACTGAAACATGCCGTCAAGGGGATCGCATGCCACCTAGGAGGGAGTCTTGGTAATAGCCAAGCAGCCAGAGGAGGCCTCAAAGGAGACAGAGAAATGATCATGGAAATAGAAGTATCAGCGTAGGGCAATGTTTAAGGAGACAAAGAAAGATAGACTTTTAGGTAAGCAGATACTACCAATATCGAACAGTGAGCTAAGCACAGTGCTGGCAGGTAGAAGGCACTTCATAGGTCTTTTCCCCTCATTCATTCATTGTCAGTCATTTATTCACTCATCTATTCTTTCATTCATCATTCATTCTACAAATAAGCACGTGTAGCTGAGTGCCAGGTGCTAATCACATAGACGTGAATGAACACACACTGCCCCTGCTCCATCTTAAAGCTTATATTCTGGAGGAAGAGGAGAGACAAGAAACAAATTCAAAATAAATATATAATATAATGTCAGGCAGTAATGAATGCTATGAAAAAAATAAAGCAAGCTAAGGGGGTAAAAAGATCAGACGGTGCTACTCAGGGTAGGGCAGACAGGGATACCTCTCTGATGGGGGAATATTTAAGTGGAGAATAGAATGAAATGAGGTCTGAGACGCTGGCAGTTGTGGTGGTTGATGGTGATGATGATGATGGTAAAGACTTGAAGAGCATGATGTTAATGGTACCACGGGATGAGAGAGTTATAAGGAGAAAGTAGTCAACTATGCAACAGAGATGTCAAAGTGAAGTGGACAGGAAAGGGTTCATTGGATTATTAGATTTGACAATAAAGGAAGTTATTAGATTTGACAATAAAGGAAGTTAGTGACTGTGAAGAGAACAGTTACAGTGGCTTGTTTAGAAGGAAAATATATTGCAGATGATTAGCAAGTAAAAGAGTAATAGGAAATGGATACAGGGGAGATGCTTTGAAAAAATTTAGCAATGAAGGGAAGGGTGGCTCCAGGAGTAGATAACACAAAATGATATGAAGTAAGTTTTTGGTTTTTTTCCCCTCTAGACCAGAGCTTCTCAATCTCGGTTCTATGGACATTTGGGACCAGATAATTCTTTGTTGTGGGCTGGCAAAGGGACTGCTCTATGCATTGTGATGTTCAACAGCATCCTTGGCCTCTACCTACTAGATGCCGGTCTCATTCCCTCCACCCAGTTGTGATAACCAAAATTGTCTCTGGACATTGCTAAATGTCCCCTGGAGGCAAAATCGCCCCCAGTTGAGACTGACTGCTCTGGGCTGAGGTGACCTGTATATGTTTGAAATGGTAGAGAAAGGGCCCCTTGGAGAGGGAAAGAGAAGATATTGGAAAGGAAGGGTCTTAATGTGAGGAGCTACAGTCAGGAAGTTCAACATGTTTTCCCTGAAAGTGAGAAAAGGCAGAACTATAGGGACTATTAGTAAACACTTTGTTTTATGAGTTTAGGAACAAATGTTGTCGTTCTAAATTAAGAAGGGAGCATTCAAGCTGAAAATTAAAAGAAAAAATATATTTGTTGTAACAATTTGGAAACCAGCATGCAAATTCTCAAGTAAAAGCAGTATTGTTAAAAAAGAGAAACTATTAGTTATCCGTTTACATATTAGTAGAATTAAGACAAATGAGCACATAGTTTGAATTGGAGAACAGATCATGTGATTTACAAATTGCCCCTTAGCCTGGGAAGTCCTTAACTTGGGATTGAAGACAGATGTTTCTGATGTGACTCATATATTTTTACCACTTTCTCATGGGCATGGACTGAGTTTATTCCTCTCTCTCTCCCGGTGATGTCAGTGTCTTGTTTACACAGCATGAGCCTGCCTAAGTCAAAACTAGCCCTAAGTCATGTGATACATGGTAAAAATACATAGGCAGACTTCTCTTTAGATAGAATATAGTTCCAAGTTCTAGGGGAACAGACTTGATTTCTGGGTTGAGTATATGAACTTTGGATACCTGAAAATGTTCTAGAATAATAGAATTTCATGTTGAGAAGGATTGTCAGAATTATTTTCACAAATATTTTACGATTTCTCTACTTGCCATTTCAAGTATTGCTTATTAAAAATAGACCAGAGTTGTGTCTCTCCTAAGAAGAGAAAAAATGTGAATATACTTCTTGGCTATTAAGTATGTTTTTCCCTAAATTAAAATCAAATGTTAATCTACATCTGAAAAGACAACTGGCATTTATTGAGAATCCACTATATAGAGAAAACTACTACAGTTATTTTGTGATGTGAGTTCCTTAAAGCCTCATGACAACTCAGTGAGCCAGGTGTTATTCCTATATGCAAGCGAGTAAAACTGGCAATCACAAACAAAATCATACTGCAAAACCCAACAATATAGAAACAGCTGTTTTATGTCCAGAGTTGATCTTTAGACATTCTCCCCACAGTGATTTTTCCCAGTCTCTGATGAAATCTCAACTATTTTAAAACAGTGAATACATAAATTGAACTACTTTTGGACTGATATTCAGGCAATTTATTTTGTCCAGCCAGTCTCTATCTAGTAGAGTTGAGTTAAGAGACGTGATTTTGGCTACCCACTTCATGTCTAACAGAGTACCCTTCAACCTCTCCTGGTGGACCTCTCTAACAACACACTATGGAAATGATCTGTTGAGAGTCATATCAGATGTCACTGAGTCAATTTTCTTGGAGATTTGAGATAAGGACTTTAGCTTGGCTATTGGCCTCCATATGAGGAATAGTTAGCATCTTTTAATTCAGTAAAGTTTTCGCAAGCAAGCTTATTGTGTTGCAAGATTTGTTGGAATTTATCATATCCAAAAGAAAAACAACCTCAGAAAATCATTAATTTCTTTTAAGTAACTGAATTGCATTACAAGGACTCTTTTCTTATTTGAGTAGTTCTGGTCTAATCTGTACATTTTCTTAACTTTCAAGGTAACTGTTACTGTGTAATAGCTATATATTTACTATATATGTATATATATACACACACACATATCTGCTGCTTAAAATGTTTTGTTTGTTTGTTTGCTTGCTTGTTTGCTTTTCATTTGGCTTTTAAGAGCCCAAAGAACCCTCAATAACTTGCTAAGTGTATTTAGCGGCACGAAAAAAAATCTCTGATAGACTTCACTTCCCCCAAACATTAAAAAGGGACACTCTGAAATGATTTTAAAGAAAGAGATCTGTGGATGTAAGCTTCAGGATATTCAGTGTAAAAGCATCCTGTGAATCTCTAATCAAGCATCTCACTCAACTGAACAAGGCATCTCTTCCCAACGTGCCTGTAGATGAAATGATTTGGAAGGCGTAGTTGGGTGGGCCAGTGGGGAAAGATAGATGAGTGGCCTCTGTGTCTGTGAGGTGGTCAGCGAGAGAGGCAAATCCCTTCCCCCCACTCCCATGGCTGTATGTGCCACTCTTCCTCTATACAAAGACAATTTGCTTTTCATGTAGTAATGAAGAACAATGTTTAACAGACAAAGGAGCTTCTAGTTTATTATTGTGCTGTCTTTGACTAGAGCTAGATGCTGGGAAAAATGGTAATTCACAGTGTGAATGCTTCTTTTCCAGCCGTACGGGTTATGGCTGAGCATGTACATTGTATATTGCAGATGGTACAATAGTGAACACTGTGAGAACTAGGCAAGAATGAATTACAGCGTTTTTTTCCTTGCTAGCCAAGAAACCAGGAATTTCTTCACAATGATTTTTATTTATGTCTGTGTGTGTATGAGTTATTCCTTAGCAATAAACACTGCTGGAATCTGATAAATGATTTTAGATTTTAGAGTTTTTAAATTAACGGGTAAAATCTACTACGATGCTCTTAGAACACCTGTGTTCACTGGCTTTTTCCCCCAGTAAACTGATACAAGGCACAGGTGGTGCCTCATTAACTTATTTCATGCAAATAAAAACATATTGCATGATTTCTTCTCTTTAACTATATAATCACTGAAACATGATTGTGCTGATTAATGCAACAAACTTTGAAAGGGGAGAATTCAGCATCTTTTGTCAGTTCCCTTATGCTGAAGAGATTTGCACTCCATGTGAATCTGATTTAAATAGAAAAGTAGTGGGAATGACTCTTTCCTATGTAAGAAATCTATTTTCTTCTACTTAGTCTTTTCTCTATGTCATAGGACACTCAGTGATATACAATTGGAGACACAAAATTGGAAGAAAGGGAAGGCCAAATTTCCCATGGTGATGCAGGAATTGGGAGCCCAGATGAGGAACCATCTCGAATAGGTATGCTTATGTATTTTGATTCAGTGTTCAGATATTCTTATCAATGACTTCCAGAAAGTGACATTGATTTTCTTTGGAAACAATGATGGAAAAACAGCGAATGTGTACCAGAATGCTTTTAGAGTTCTAAAATCATACCGGAAAATGTCCGAGCATTCCAACACAACTATAAACAGTACCATGCTGTATTTATGGGGGACAGCAAGTCTGTTTTTAAAAGTCTTTTGCGATATTTCTATGTTTTTAATTTATTGAATTAAAGCCAGATTTATTCAATTAAGATAATACACTTCAAGGTTAACTGCCATTTGCTGTTCATTTAGGCAAGCTATTGTACAGTTATGTAAATTTCATGAACTGAGACACTACTTGAGTGTCTTAATTACAAGCAAAAAGTGTCATTTAAATATGAATTAAGTGAATAGTTGCCAGTATTTCCTGTTCCTGTATTTTCTATCTTCTAAAAATCTAAAGGCTACCCAATGATCTGCGCGATGTCCTAAGAGTTTTCTTTTTCTGGTGAAAGAAAAACACCCCAAATACCAAATATTATTTTTTAAAAGTAAGAAAACATGTAAAGATGCCATTATTGCACCAACCATTAATCAGAGCAATATCTGAATAAGAGGGTGCCAATTTTTCCCAGTTGGCCACTAACAGTCATTTTCATGTTGTTACTGAAATTTTTCAATTATTCCGTCTTACACTTACTAATTTGCTACGTGTCATCCGCTCAAATCCACTATATATGTAAATTCATTTTAAAAAATGCTCTCTTTTAAATCTAACCGTTTATAATGTATCCAAACACTCAGTTTGCAGACTCAAACACTGGGATGTGCATAGTTTTACTACTTCTTTACCTTTGTCAAAAGAAATATTTATTTTAAATTTGGAGCTGTCACAGCTATAGTTATGTTTAGTAAAAGTGACCCATGACTTGATACTTTGTTGATTTCCATGAAGTAATTCCCCATGCATCTCGGACTTACTGACAAATATTGTTTTTGTTTGTCTCTATACTTTTGGATGTTTTTTGCTTATAAAAATGACCTAAAGACAAATCTGGCATTAATCATGAAGGAAGGGAAAGATTCACAACTAGTTAATGAAAACCACGCCTCAGTTCTGTGCAGTCGTTTCCCAGCTCCTGTCCCAAGCCATAAGGCTGCAGCTTGGGAAGATATTCCCAGCCACCCCCCAAGGTAGCTCCTACTCGCTCCCCTAGGAGTGAGAAGTTCACTATTCACTCAGTGCTTGCATCACCCTTTCCAACATGTTCCCACTGATACATTAAAGGAATTAATTGCTCATAATGATCTCACCATCTGTTAACAGAGGTTCATACCTACAGGCTGGTGGCATGCGGTGGTTCTATTCAGGGATCAATAGGCAATGCCGGGCGAACGCTTTCCCACATTGCCTGCCTTTGCGCGCTGAAAGGGGGAGGAGAGCTTGGTGCCGGCCATCTGCTCCCTGTCTTTCTGTGCGAGACCTTGATGCGGTCCAGCACAGCTCTGATCTGACTCCAGTCCGATTGGAATGTGGCTGATCTGAGAGCCTCTCAAAGCTGTGAAAGTGAGTCAAAAGGAGATGCCCATTGTCCAGCATGGCTGAAAGAAAATGATCACTTTAAAATTCATAACTCCCAGGTGCCTGCCATCTATTCATGGGAAAAACCCTCTGAACTTCTCTTCATTAAAGAGAGAGAGGGGAGTCTTACTAAAAAGAGAGAAAAGGAAGTAGTTTGTGGGAATGTGCAGGGGATTTTCAAGCTAAACAAATGAGGAATTTGGAATTTTTCACTTGTATTAAAAGGGCTGTGTAGGAAAGGGGAAGCTCTTATTTAAAGAAAAGGGAGGGAATGCCTTCCTGGGGCACTGTAGCAACTAATAAAGAACGTTTTAATTTTTCTCCAGAAGGACTCAAAGATCATCCTGCCTTTTTACTTTTATTACCTGAAGCTGAGAAAATTTTACCATTTGATTCTGGACAACATTCTTATTTGATTTCCATTCCATTCCGGACAACATTGTTAGTCAATTTCCATTCCTATTCCACTGGGGTGCAATTTGGGTAGGAATTTAGAGAAGAATGAGAGTCTGGGAAATTCCTGAATATGGTACAACACATCAATGGACACAATGAAACTCAAATCTATCAAGTGCTTCTCAGGAGGAGTTTATTTAGCAAGGTTACCTGTACCCACAAAGGTATCTGTTAGGAGCAGTTTTCCCTGTGCCTTGAACAACAGAAGAGTCATGAAGAAATAGTAAGAAAATAAAAGGGAAATCTCTATGCCTTTGCAACTGAAGATCTAGCTGAGTCCCTGAGCTGTGGGAATCACAGGACTGCTGGATCAATGACTCTTGGCTGTTGGTCATTGTAGAAAATTCATGTGTCATCAGAACCACGTAGAAATTCAAAGAGGATTTATGTATTGATGGATTGAGAGACAAATAAAAAGTACAAATAGAGGGATCAATGTTCTGTCTCTTGAAAATCTTTTATCTTATAGATTATGACTTAACGCCCAAAAAGGTTGTGACATGCTCAAAGTCACAGAGTTAGTCATAGAACTGAGCTATAACCTTAACTTTCTGGCAGTTTTCTTTCTACCACTTCATGCTGCCTTCCTTAAGGGTGTGGTGTTTAAAATTACTTTTGCTCAGCTTTCCCTAGTTAAAATATAGATCAGTGTTACCAACCTAAATAATTTAATAGTTCCTTTTAAAATAAAATTTGAGCTCTTAGGAAGATTGTGAATACTAATATGTATCACTAACACATACAAAATAGAAAATTGATCAAGTAAGGCACTAATATCAGACAGAAAATATTGCAATAGACAGCAGAACCTATTGGTGAAACAGGGTAGTAAAGTCCAATTCTCTCGGACATCAATAACTAAATAAAGGAAGAAAGAGGAAGAAGAAGGGAGGAAGAGTAAGAATTGGCAATGATCAATGCAGAGTCAGAAATTCACTCCCTTGACCAGCAGGGAGTCAAAAGGAGTGGCTGCTGGAAAGGAGATGGAGGAATGTAGAATTAACCCAAGCTTCTAGAAATCAGAAGAAGGTATGCCTGACAGAATCAGTGTGACTGGTCTTTCTTAATAAATAACAGACCACCATCTTAACTATATTTTTTCTAGAAATTTAGATTCATTCTATTAAGAATCTTTGTTTTGCTCTACTTTTCCTGTGTGGGAGCATATCTTTAATTTTCAGTACAATGGATGGGAACATAAAATTCTCGGAATAGAATTGTGACATATTGTTTTTATAGTAGATTTGAGTGGAAAAAAATTCAAGGTCAATTATAAATTTGTTCACTAATCCAATCTGATTCTTAAATTACTAAATTGTTTGACTCTATAGTTTATGTAGATGAAGTCATAATTGGTGAAATATAAATGGGACTCCTCCACCCCCACCCCATGAATAGCACAAGAAGACTGACAATTGGGATGAAGATTGACAGCAGCCAAAAGAGAATGGCTAACATTTTCTCAAGTATTTCAGCTTCAGGCTAGAGCTCTAGGGAGAGCCAGAGATTATTCCAGAAAAAGTAAAAAATATAAGAAGAAATAAGAAATGAAATTAAAGGCTATCCATAATCCCCCTTCAAGGGATAATTGAAGATTATCTTTTCAGAGTATATATTAAAAAACAACAAAATCAGATCATAATATTTATATTATCTGGCATAGTGTTTAAGTTGGAATATGAAATTGCAGATATTTGACCATTTTTGACCTACCAAAAAAATGGCAATTTACATATGGGTCAACTTGAAAACTTTTCACTCAGTGATATATTGTGAACTTCTTTCCTTTCCAGTAAATAGGCATCCAAATAAATTTTTAATGGATTCATATATGGTTTAGGAACTATTTAAATAGCTGTTCTCTGAAGATTCTGAGTGTCTCATATCTTCTCAAGATTGGATTTAGAATGACATACAGATTTCACAGTAGAACTAAAACGACTTATGCTGTAGGAATACAGTTCATTAAACATTTACTTAAAAACATTATCTTTTCCTCTTGCAATGAAATGATGGCCCTCCTACTGAAACTGAAAGCTTGTAATAGGCTTACACTAGGAGGAATATAGTTAATGAGAATGTGCCTTAAGAATGAGGCAAAATGGTACCCACCTCAAACAATGACAAGACCACAAGCAATACACTTAAAAACAACAAAACCTCAGACCAATAAAACCACAAAACACCAATGAAGCACAGTACAGAATTCAAAGTCTATTCATTTCTTTAGTGGATTTGGTTGAAGAATGCAGTTGGTGGGGCCACAGGGAACAGCCCGATTACTGGCTGTCTTATGACTTCTGGGCTATGGTCCCCAACAGTTTTCCCTGTAAGACTCAAATCCTTAGGGTGTTCTGACTTCCGGAGGAGTATATAACCGTGAATGTGTTCATGTCGACTTTATTCCTAATATTTCATCTTCTGTCAAATGCTATCTGAGACTTGAAGCTAGATCTCCTAAGCCTGTCCTCATTTTTCAGGATTTTTCCCACAGACTGTTAGTAGGGCCAGAAATGCCCATCTTTTCTATAGATAAATGCATTTTCTTTTTTCTTTCAAGGATCCTACAGGAAAATTTCCTCCTGTTCTAATTATTCAGTTTTTGGAAATAGTTTTTTAAACTTATTGCCATTGTAATCAATTTGCATTTGCTCAATCATCTGACTCAACTTTGTTCTCAATTCTCGCATTCAAAATTAGTAAGTAAAGAAGATTTTTAAAGCATGCAGTAAAAGCACATACACTTTAATTCTACCCTACCCCCACCTTCCAATTCTCACAAACACAGGGCTTGTAGGGTTAGCTGATCTTTGGGTTTTATTATTTACCCCTCTCTCCTTTCTTTCTTTCTTTTTTTTAAAACTGCATGGAAAGTAAAAGTTTATTGGGGGCAAGAGGTTCAATGACTATTTTTCCCTCAAACAAATTAATCTTGTATAACCTGCATTATAAAAGCTATTTTTAAAAAGAGGAGGAAATAATCATTGGGGCCTTATTTGGGACTCTTGTGGGTTTGAGTTCACATTTGCACCAGCCAGAGATTTTCAATTAGCAGTGCCTTAGAAAACAGGGACCCCTGCCTTTGTCAGTGTCCTGTGGAAGAAGAAGAGCAAATAGATTGGAAATGGTCTTAGGGCTCAAGCTCCTGGGAAAATGTAACAGGTGTTACAGCTCAGCTGGGTGTGAGATTTATGAAAAAAGCCCACTCAGACTTTGCCCATAGAATTCTGCTTTCTAGCCAGGGCTTCAAGTAGGAAGAAACTAATGACTTCATTACCATCTCAATTCTGGGAAATGCCTGGTCCAGACCTGAATCATTAAAGGAAAGGTATAGCACTCTGGGTGACCTTGCAAGATCAAAATGTTATTTAGAGCAATTCCGTTAGTCAGACCCATGAACCTGAAAGAACACACCCTTTAGGAGTAACACTTTGGACATAAAATGAGAAAACAAAAACAAAAACACGATAAATCCATATAGAAAAAGAGGGAGAAGGAAGGAAAAAAAATCTGTAATCATCATGCTGCACTATTTCCTCCACTCTGTTTGAAAAGCCTCCACTTCTAGCACTTGTCCTCACTCTGTGTTGTGACACATTAAATGGCTCTTGTCGCTTTCCCATTTCCAGTGGATTATAATTGGGGGGTGAGGTAGAAGCCAGGAATGATGTCAAATTTCCAAGCAGCGGAAGGTGAAATAAATCTCTTCAGTACTAACAGTACTTAATAGTATAAGAGTAGTAGTACTTAACTGGTAGCAATTAACAGTACATTTTTTATTAGATAATTGCATCTTTTATTAATCAGCAATGGGAAAAACACAGCACATGCGAGTCTGTCTCCTGTCCTATTTATCCCTACAAACAATCCTTCATAGTCATTGTATTGCGTTTTATTTTACGGTGCTACTCCACTGAAAAAGAACTTGGCCGGTGAA